ACCCTGGGATCACGACCTGAGCCGAAGGCAGACGCTTAACGACTGAGCCACCCAGGCGCCCCTAGTCACATGCTCTTCTGAACGAGCCGTCCAGGCCCCCCTAGTGAGAAGGTTTTGAGTGGCCTGTGGCAGGTGCCATTCATGCCTTGGACTCATGGACTTACCAAGAGCTTTTGGATTTGACCTTGAAGAGAAGAATTCCATGCAGATTTCACACTGAAAAGGTTGTCTTGCCACAGAGTGGGTAATGGATTAGAGGGGCTGGAGTGGAGGTGGCTATCTACCAGGGAGATATGAGGTGAGACTCATCTGCAGTGAAGGGCCACGCAGGTCTGTGTCTGCCATTGTAACTGAACTACATGAGTTTGCTCCTTGGTGAATCACGGAAACTACACGAGGTGGAGTTGTCACACAAAGGAAGTTTTATTTGCAGCAAAGAAGGAGATCACAGGGAATAACTTCCAACCCTGACTCTAAGAGCAAGGGTTGACTAGGTGCCCCCTAGGGTTAGGATGAATAGAAATGGGAGCCTTGGGTGCCTAGCTGGCTCAGTCAGAAGAGCATGGGACTTTTGATCTCAGGGTCGTGTGTTTGAGCCCCACAGTAGGTGTAGAGATTACATAAATAAATAAATAATTAAATAAATAAACTTTAAAAAAAGAAGAAGAAAAAGAAATGGGAGCCTTGTCATCGTATGTAGAAGTAGGCATAAGGTCATATATGTGCCTTAAGGAAACATGCCTACACATACCTTGCATGTTATGTAAATGAGGCTTATGCTTCTCCTTGGGTGAAGACTTTACTATTATGATGAGGTAAAGGTACCTGTCAGTGACTCCATGGGTCACTCCATGGTCCATCTGCTCAGGCATGAATCAGGGGTTAAGCTCAAACTGGTCTGGGTGGTCTGGGTTGCCAGAACTCTTCATCCAGGCAGTCATTATTGCTTGAGGGGTAGTTTTGGTTTCCATCACACGATGCTGTGTCCAGGGGTCTTTTGCCTGAGTTAAAAGATAAGCTGGAAAGGAGAGCTTAGGGGGAAATGTGGGACAAAATTTAGTGGGTACTAACAGGAGAGCAGTAAAGTTCAAGTCTTGGGGTCTAGCTGGTGATACTGGGACTATGCTCTCAGAGCTGAGTCCTAAAGCCCAGAGCTTGTGTGTATCCTCCTGATTTCTAGGGGGCCTATAATCTTCTGGGATTTGGGAAAGCCTCTGCTCTAGCATGGGGTGGTCTTCATAAAGAGGAAACTCTCAGGAACCTGGAGGGACCCAGGCAGTGAATCATTAGTCTGAGTCCAAATGGAGACAGCAATGGCCAGTCCGGGAGACCCAAGAATACAGATTATTTTCCCTTGACAACAGCCAGTGAGAAGATGAGAAGACAAGGCATGTTTTCTGTCTGTGGAAATCTCTGGGGGCACCTGGACTGGGAAGACACAAGTCTTCCAGGCTGTTCCTTGGGCTGGCCTGGAATCCTGGTTTTGTGTCTGTCTGGTACCCGACTCTGAGAGCCCTATGGGTTACAATGGGCCTGTGTCTTTGGGTTCCTCAACAGGCCCAGGTCACTAAAGCTGACCATTACCTGGAGGGTTCTGACCTGTGAGGAAGGAGCCCATACTGCTTTATTGGCTTAGGAAATCATTGGAACACTTCTGGCCTCAGCTTTGTTATCAATAAAACAGGCTTAACTAATGATCTCTGAGGCATTGTTTCCACAAGTGCCTGGAAGGATGGTGATGATGATAAACATAATGGTTAACATTCATTTTTTGCTTTGCTTTTTTTTACTTTTAAAATCATGTTTATTGGGGCGCCTGGGTGGCTCAGTTTTTAAGCGTCTGCCTTCGGCTCAGGTCATGGTCCCAGGGTCCTGGGATGGAGCCCCACATCGGGCTCCCTGCTCCGCAGGAAGCCTGCTTCTCCCTCTCCCACTCCCCCTGCTTGTGTTCCCTCTCTCGCTATATCTCTCTCTGTCAAATAAATAAATAAAATCTTTTTTAAAAAATCATGTTTATTGAGGTATAATATAGATGCAATAAAAATGCACAAATTTTGGGGCACCTAGCTGGCTCAGTCGGTAGAACATGCGATTCTTGATCTTGGGGTTGTGAGTTTGAGCCCTAGGTTGGGTGTAGAGATTACTTAAAAATAAAATCTTTTAGGGTGCCTGGGTGGCTCAGATGGTCAAGCGTCTGCCTTCGGCTCGGGTCATGATCCCGGGGTCCTGGGATCAAGTCCCGCATCGGGCTCCCTGCTCCTTGGGAGCCTGTTTCTCCCTCTGCTTCTCTCTCTCTCTGTCTCTCATGAATAAATAAATAAATAAATCTTAAAAAAAATAAAAATAAAATAAAATAAAATAAAAAAACCAAAACCAAACCTTCTTTGGGTGATTTTAAAGATAAATAATATCTTTAAAAAAATTACAAATCACCACAATCAAGTTATAGAACCTTTCCATCACACCAAAGTATTCCCTTGTACTTCTTCAGAGTCAATCCCTTCCCTTCTCTCCCTGCCGCAGGAAAAACTGTTCTGATTTATATTACTATAGATCAGCTTTGCCTTTTTTAGAATTTCACATAAGTGGGATCATACAGTATGAACTCTTTTAGGTCCGACTTTTTTAAAAAAGATTTTCTTTATTTATTTGAGAGAGAGAGAGAACAAGAGAGAGAACGAGAGGGGTGAAGGGCAGAGGGAGAAGCAGACTCCCTGCCAAGGAGGGAGCCCGGTGTGGGACTCAATCCCAGGACTCCGGGATCATTATCTGAGTTGAAGGCAGACACTTAACCGACAGAGCCACCCAGGTGCCCTTGGGCCTGACTTTTTTTGCTTAACATAGTACATTTGAGATTTAGTGGTGGTGGTGTGCATACTAGTTGTTCACTCTTTAAAAAAAATTTTTTTTTGGTATTCATAATATTTACCATTTTACTCATTTTAAGTATATAAGTCAGTGACATTAAGTATATTCATAATGTTGTATAATCAACACCACTATTTCCAGAATTTTTTTCATCATCCTAAACAGAAACTTTGTACCTGTTAAACAATAACTTTATTTCCCCTCACCCCCAGTCCCTGGCGACCTCTATTTTACTTTCTGTCTCTATGAATTCGCCTATTCTAAGTACCTCGTGTAAATGGAATCATAATACAATGTTCCTTCATATCTGTTTTCTTTTTTCACTTAGCATGATATTTTCAATGTTCACACTAAAGCATTTATCAGTTTCAGTCATCTTTAAGGCTGAGTAATTCCATTGTATGTATATACCACTATTTGTTTACCCATTCATATGTTGATAGATGCTTGGATTTGCTCTTTTTTTTTTTTTATTGCTAAGCAGTATTCCATTGTATGGATACACCACAATTAGTTTATCTGTTCATCTCATGGACATTTGGATTATTTCCTATTTCTGGCTATTAAGAACAGTCCTTGAGCGGGCCTATGCATTCATTTCTCTTGGGTAAATACTTAGGAGTACAATGGCTGGATCACATTGTAGGCATGAATTTAGTTTTTAAAGAAATGCCAAGCTTCTTCAAAATGGTTGGAAATTATCAATGGAGCACTCCACAGCCTTGCCAGTCTTTAATTTTAGCCTCTTCCTTGGGGTTGTGGGAGTTCTGATTAGAATGTCCCTGATGAATAATCGTATTAAGCATCTTTTCATGGGTTTATTCGCTATTTGTATTCTTTTGTGAATTATCTGTTCAAATCCTTTGTCCATAAAAAAAAAGGGGGGGTGTTCATACCTATTTTCGGAATTAATGTCTGCCGGGCACTATGCTCATTAGTGCTCTGGCTTTATATGCTTTAACTAACCACCGCCCCGCACGGCGGAAGTAACGGAGCAAGCTCGGCTGGCGGAGAAGGGTCTGGATCGCTCCGATACCGGAGGGCTCGGACGTTTCTGGGCAAGGCCCAGAGCTCTTGAAGGCTCGCGCCATGATTGGCTGAAGGAGCACTTCCTCAGGCACTTCCGACTCCCGGCCAGCCCAGAGCATCAGTAATTGGCTGAGCTGGCCCAGCGCGAGTCTTTCCGGGAGTTGTAGTTCTTGGGGCTTTGCCGGGGACGCCGGGAAGGACCAGTGGTCAGAGGCCAGGAGCGGCAGTTGGGCTTGGTTGAGGCTGCTGACACTATGTCCCGCGTGTCGGTGCCCTGCCATGTGAAAGGCACGGTGGCTTTGCAGGTGGGCGACGTGCGAACCTCCCAAGGCCGGCCTGGTGTGCTGGTCATCGATGTCACTTTCCCCAGCGTCGCGCCCTTCGAGGTGAGCAAGCCCCGTGGGCGCGACCGGGGCTCCTGGGCGGGGCTGACCTGGGAACTCGGGCGTGTCCCAGGCATTTAATCTTTTACCGAAAGCCTCTGCAGCGTCCTCGCCCTTGCAAATCAGTTAATCATTTATTTATTACTTCAGTAAACACATATTTACTAGAATGCGGATTTCTGTCCTGTTCTCTTCAACGACTCTCCCCGATGTCCAGGACAGGGCAGGCGTAGAAGTGCCAAGATAGTAGGGTGATGCTGGAAATACAATTGTGAACCAAACAGAGGTGAAAGGTCATTTTGTTCCTGGCCACTGGGCTGGGGATCATTAGACAATGAGTTACCCCCAAACCTGCCTCCTGTCCATTCCCTACAGTCCCTGCTGGAGGTCAGGTTCAGCACATTGCTCGTCAGGATCATCCCAGTGGCGCCAGTTTCCAATCTCCAGTTGCCCGCCCACATCTGCGGGCAGAGTGACTGACACTACAAGACCTCAGCACAGAGAACAAAGTCCACTTTCTGATGGCTTGGCATTCGGAGCCACTCTGTGTCTGTGCCCTGCCTGCCTTTTGACCCCATGCACTTTGTCCCATAGTGTGTGGTCCTCTTCCAAGCTGTTCCTTACCATAAGCTGGGAAACTTCATTAAAGGGCCCAACCCTGTAAATACTGATTCATTATGTCTGGGTGGAGCCTGTACATTTATATTAAAAACAAAAAAACAAAAACCAAACCTTCTTTGGGTGATTCTGATGAGTGTCCAGTGATGAGAATTGCTGTAGCCAGGCTGAATCACTGCTGTTTCATCCTTTGGTGCCCCTTTGCTTATGATAATTTTTTTTTTTTAAGATTTTTATTTATTTATTTGACAGAGACACAGCGAGAGAGGGAACACAAGCAGGAGGAGTGGGAGAGGGAGAAGCAGGCTTCCCAAGGAGCAGGGAGCCCAATGCAGGGCTCCATCCCAGGACCCTGGGATCATGACCTGTCCTGAAGGCAGACGCTAATGACTGAGCCACCCAGGCGCCCCTGCTTATGATACTTTTACACTCTCTCTGTCCCAGTCCACTTGGTGAACTCCTCCTTCTTGAGGCCTCATCTGTACATTTTCTGCCTTCTCCAGAGTTAAGGTTCTGGCAGCATCTTAGACTTGTGAAAAAGATCTGCGGTCATGGTTTATTTGCATGACCTGCTCATTTGGACTGTGAGCTCCTCTAGGAAAGTGAAATTGTCTTTGGGCCCTAGTGGATGCTTGTTGAAATTGCTAGATTGGTAGATGAGTACATTCCTAAGGGGAGGAGGAGATGGTACATGGTACATTTGAGCCTCTCAGGCCCTGGGCCTGGGTCTGATTTGTCATGGTGGGTTGTGTGTGCTCTAGTTACAGGAGATCGTGTTTAAGAATTACTACACAGCCTTTCTGAGCATCCGTGTTCGGCAGCACAGCTCAACGCACACCCCGGGGAAGTGGGTGACTTGCCTGCGGGACTACTGCCTCATGCCTGACCCGCACAGTGAGGAGGGAGCCCAGGAGTATGTATCGTTGTTCAAGCACCAGGTCAGCTGGGACTCAGCATGGCTAGGGAAGTCCAGATGAGGGCTCTCAGGGGGCCTGGGGATTGGACCAGGATACCTGGAGGGAAGAGGGGAGGTAAGGCTGGCCTGGGATTGTACCTCGGAAGGATTACTGTTCTTTCCTTCCTAAAGGCCTGGGGAGGCAGTGTCTTGGCTCACTGCTGATTGGGAGGCTCTTGGGCAGTGAGCTAGGGCCTCGCTGGGTCCTTGTGTGTGTGTGTGTGTGTATCTATGTCAGATGCTGTGTGACATGGCCAGAGTACTGGAGCTGCGCCTGATTCTGCGACAGCCATCACCACTGTGGGTGTCTTTCACAGTGGAGGAACTGCAGATTTACCAGCAGGGACCAAAGGTAAGTGGCCAGCTCAGGGCTGTTGGTTGGCCCTTTCTCTCGGAGGCTCTTAGCTATGGCTAGGAGAGCTGGGTGTGGGGCTGGGAGTGGACGGTAAGACTCAGAAGGAAATTAGCCAGGAGGGAATGTTGGAAGCTAAGGATGAGAGGTGAGGTCATGTCTTCATATCCTCTGACCTTTGAGGCCACCTGCCTCTCTCATAGCTTGAGTCTTCAAGTGCTGGGAGATGCTTCTGTTCCTTGTGTTCCTGGGGCCTCCTGCATAGCAGAAGAGCTTAGGTAGTCTCTAAGCTCTTAGGTAGTCTGACTGCCCCTTGGACCTCTTGGACCCCTGAAGCTCAGCTTTGAAGCTCAGGTGCCCTTCTCTCTTCTCTGAGGACCTTGAAATCTGGTCCTAGGGCTTTTCCATTCTGCCTCCTTCAGGGCCGTATGCCTTTGCTTTGCAGAGTCCCTCCATGACCTTCCCCAAGTGGCTCTCCCACCCAGTGCCTTGTGAGCAGCCTGCTCCCCTCATTGAGGTAAGCCCTCATCGTGGGTCAGAACCATGTGTGAAAAGCTCTTGTGTCCAGCACAGGCCCAGGCGGGCCTCTTTCTACAAGAATTTGGGGCTGGACCCACTCACTTTGTGCCATCTTCCTCTTGGGGGGTCCATGGGATTTGAGGCATATCTGAATGGGGCTGGGCTGCCTCCTGCACATGGGGCCCCAACCTCATGTTTTGCAAGTCACCTGGGAATGTTACTGGTCTCAGTTGGAGGGCCCCATAGCCCAACTTGGTCTCTCTGGAGCTTTAAGGGCACTGCTGGGGAGATACCCATGGCCACTGACCCCTCCTTCTGGAGCAGGGTCTCCCAGACCCCAGCAGGGTATCCTCCGAGGTGCAGCAGATGTGGGCGCTGACAGAGATGATCCGGGCCAGTCACACCTCCACAAGGATCGGCCGCTTTGATGTGAGTGATTGCTTCCCTCTGCTTTGCTCCCATTGCCCTGAGCAGGTCAGATCTCATGGTCTTTTGTGTTGCAGGTGGATGGCTGTTACGACCTGAACTTGCTCTCCTACACCTGAACTGTGGCTGTTAGCCAAGATGTTGGCCTTCCGTGCCCACCCAGACCCGGTTTGGGCCACCAGAGGCTGGAGTGCTTTCCCTGTGCATTCCGAGTGTTGCCTGCATGTTCACTGGGTCTGGGCCACGTTCACAGATTCAAGATTCCTGGGGGCTCACTGTGTTGCTTCAGCATGAGCTCTTGGCAGGGGTGTACTCTGTCCTCATCCGACTGCAACCCGAAACTCCTTTTCCTACCCTAAAAACATTTCAGTTCTACATACTAAGAATCCCCTTGTGCCCTCTGCTCCTTCTGCCAACATGCACATTCCAGACTCCTGCCTGCTCCTTCACCCTGAGTGCAGTGGGTTGGGGTGACCTACTAAACCTGCTCTAGCTGTTGCTGGAAGGCTGCTTGCTGTAGTCTTCGCACTCAGGTAGTTTGGAAGCTTGAGGGAAAAACAGGAGCCCGTTTCTTCCTTCTGCGCCCCCTAGTGGTCTTCTTTCCCTTTGTGTTACGCCCCTAAGAAGAAATTTCCTGTCTTAACTACCTGCTGCCTGCCTAGGGAGCAAAGCTGGGGATTTGGGCAGCCTGAACCCCTTGGTCCCTGAGCTTGCTCCTGGATGCGTGTTCAAATGGGTCTGCCCATCCAGCCTGGGCAGGTGCCTCCGGCAAGGCCAGGGTGCGAGAATGAGTTCCGGGACCTTTGTGCCCAACGCACGTTCTTGTCCATTTTCCCAGCTGCCCCCTTCCAAGAGTCATGCTCAGTGTGATGAAAGATCAGCCCTGGTAGGGTGAGGGTCCAGGTGAGCGCTCTCAGAGAGGCTGAGGTCTGCTACAACCCCAGGCCTGCTGCTAAGGCAGGCTGCTCTTACGAGAAAGTCTTCCTTTTCTGTTTTTTCCTGGCTTTGCCCCCCGGGGCTGTGATGCAGCAGTACTGTAACTTGTGCTAGACCTGGAAAATTGGACATCTGTGGGGCTCAAAAGCTTTCTGGAGGAAGGTCAGCCCCCTTTTGGTGGCCACCCTGTGCTCTTACCAGAGTCCTTGCAGGTGTTGCCCGCATGGTCATTTACTTCGCCCCATTCAGCTTCTGTTAAGAGGGTAATGACCACAATCCTGTACTCAGGGAGTAGCAGCCCTCAGAGAGAGTGTGAGAGAGAGAATGTGTGTAAGAGAGTGGGGGGAGGTCCCTGGGGCGGTGGTGGGGACTGTGCTTCATTCATACCCAGCACAGGGCCTAGTGTGCAGCAAGATCAATAAATACTTGTGGAAAGCAAGACTACTGGCTGCATGTGTCCTCCCAGCGTGAAAGCCGGAGACCCTCACTAGAGGCCAGATTACTGATGTGCTCCGCCTGCCAGGCCGGCTCCACCCTCCTGCGTCCTCTCCACCCCCTCCCCTCCTCCCATGTGACCTTACACTCCTGATGTCCTGAATGCGCAATTCAGGCCTTTTGGCCCTTTATAGAACTTTGGCCTTCTGGAGGCAGGGCAGTCAGCAAGGGGAGGTCTAGCCCCCAGCTCTGTCGCGGAGCAGCTTGACTGGTTTGGACCGCCTAATCGGCCCTGGAAGATCAACTGGAAGTGCCTGGGGCTGTTTCCCTGCAGATTGGAGTTACTGCACACTGCCCGAAAGCCCCGCCTGCCCTTGGGGCTGCCTGCCTTTGGGGCTGCCCGCCCCTTCTGATCCCCTTTGTGGGAGAGAGACCTGTCCAAGCAGAGCCGGGACTACATCTCCCAGCGTGCCTGGCAGAGTGGCGGCCTCCGTGCGCCGGCTGCACTGGTTGCGGGCAACAATGCAGCGGGCAGTGAGCGTGGTGGCCCATCTGGGCTTGCAGCTGAAGGCGCTCCCGTCGGCCCTGGGCCGTCCGTTCAGTTGTGCACAGGTGGGATCGAGGGTGCCGGGGCATGGTGCCAATTTTGGAGGTGGGGGAGGGAGGAGGGTGGAGGCCGGGACACTGGTGACCCTGAACCCAGCCACCCGCAGGACGTGCTCCGCAAGACACCACTCTATGACTTCCACCTGGCGCATGGCGGGAAGATGGTGGCGTTTGCAGGCTGGAGTCTGCCTGTGCAGTACCGGGACAGCCACGTGGACTCACACCTGCACACACGCCGGCACTGCTCGCTCTTTGACGTGTCCCACATGCTGCAGGTGAGCCAGGGGAGCACGCCAGCTGCCCGATCAGGGCTTCCTCCCCGTCTACAGTGGTGCAACCCTTGGCTTTGTGGGGAGCTGGATTCCAAGGGCCACCACCCTCGCAGAAGAGGTAGGTCCCCGGTGTCATAGACTGTGGCCCCCAGGAAATGAACTCAGAGGGTCTCTTGGTTGTCTCCTCTTTAATCTCTTCAGCCTGCTCCCACTCAGTGGTGTGCCTCTGTATCCTGGGTTCCCCAGGGCTGGCGCCCATTCCCATCAACTCTCCTGGGTGTTGGTTTGGAAAAGGGGGTATTTCAGGATGGTGCCCGGCCCTTTCAAGTTTCCTAACCTCCCCCACTGCACCCTCTCCTGTGGTGGCAGAGGTGGGGAAATCAGAAGGTGGGGCTCTGCCACCTGCAGAATCAAAGGACTGCTCAGGCATTTTGGCTGAGTCGGACTGGGTTGTGAACAGCAGGGAGGGTGCCTCCTTGCCCAGTGGCCTGAGGTTTTTGATTTCTTTCCCAGACCAAGATACTTGGTTGTGATCGGGTGAAGCTGATGGAGAGTCTAGTGGTTGGAGATATTGCAGAGCTAAGGCCAAACCAGGTGGGTCCCTCTTCTCTCATATTTCTGCTCAGTGGGTGTTCTTAGTCTTGAGCCAGCAAATGGGAGGGGTGGGGGCGCAGCCAAGGCTCAGACACAGCATCTCAGGGCTTGCAGTCTTGGGGGATGGGGTCCCTGAGTCCTGTCCAGACGTCCAGTTATCTGCAGGGAGGGGGCTTATTCCATCCTTAACCACATCAGGCTGGAAAGCCAGAAACCCAGGTTTACGTCCTGTTTTGTGACCTTACGTTCTGTCAGACCCCTTGCAATGCAAAGGTAGTCCCTAATCCAGCAGCCTCATCATCACCAAGAGCTTGTTAAGAATACACTCTCAGGCCCTGCTCCAGACCTGCTGAATCAGAACCTGCGTTTTAACAAGATCCCCAGGTGATTCATGCGATCTCGCAAACTCAGGCTGTGTCCATCCAGTGGGGAGGCTGTGAGGCTAGCCTCACGGTATTTTGGAGTATTGCTGTGGCACTCATAGGATCACCAGGATGGACTTTGAAGTCTCTGTCTTGGGGTTTGGGGCATGGACTGAGTTGTCTCAGGTCTGAGTGGGATGAAGTAAGTCCTAGATGTCCTGGATTAAGTGTGAAGTGGGGCTCTCAGTACTGAGTGGGGAGAAGTGCAGAGGCCCCACCAGGTCAGGGAGGTCTCCCAAGATGGGGAATGGGAAAAAACTTCTCTCAGTGCATGAGGATCAAAAACCCCGGGCTGGGCAGGGGCATGGGCTTGCCTAGCCTTGCTCCTTGCTCCTCCTCCCCTCCCAGCCTTTTGCCTGAGGGTTCATGAATTGTGGTGGCTGAGTGGGCCAGGGGTGTGTCTGACTCATACTTGACCTGGGCCTCCTGGACCTGGAGGCAAAGATGTTCCACTTTGGCACTAGGGGACACTGTCGCTGTTTACCAATGAGGCTGGAGGCATCTTAGATGACTTGATTGTGACCAGCACCTCTGAGGGGTACCTGTATGTGGTGTCCAACGCTGGCTGCTGGGACAAGGACTTGGCTCTCATGCAGGTACGGCCCCTCTGTGTTCTAGGTACCCTGTCTTCTTTTCTCACAGAGCAGCATCCTTGTTGTCCAGGACAGACCTGGCAGGGACAAGGGGCTCAGACAATGGCTCTTTGAGTGAGTGAACAGCAGGCCAGAGTGGGCCCTCCATGGAGAATGCCAGGTTTCAGTGATGGGGGGAGTAGGGAAGGTGAGACTGGCCCCGGTTCCCAAGCAAGCATCCTCTGGTGAAGGTGGAGGCTGGAGCCCGATGTGAACACTGGCAGACCTGGGCTTGGGTCATTCCTACCACTTAGTTGTATGACCTTGTAAGATGGAACCCAGCTTACTCTGCCTTAGCTCTTCAGCTCTCAGCCCGCAGTAGGTGCTCAGTAATCCCAGAAGCTGATGTGGTGTTTCTGTCTTTCTTTTCAGGACAAGGTCAGGGAGCTTCAGAACATGGGCAGTGACGTGAGCCTGGAGGTGGTAGATAATGCCTTGCTAGCCCTGCAAGGTGAGCAGGCCAGGCTAGGGTTGGAGCTGACCTTTGCCTTGCTGGCTTTTTTTGACTGCTCAGCACAGGGGCCATTCCAGGAGGGAGGTGTGGATGGTGTTGTATTTGTGTGCCATAATTCTAAGTTTGCAATTAGGCCCTCCCTCCACCTGCTATAAGGCTTAGGGCCTGTGGGCAAGAGCATCTCTCCGACCTGCAGAGTAGGACTTTGCTCAGGGCTTATTCTGGCCCCTGAGTAGGTCCAGCTTTGAGGGGAAACTGGGACCTGGACACTGGGTCACTGGCTTCCTGGGCCTAGGCCCCACTGCGGCACAGGTTTTGCAGGCCGGCGTGGCAGATGACCTGAGGAAATTGCCCTTCATGACCAGTGCTGTGATGGAGGTGTTTGGTGTGTCCGGCTGCCGTGTGACCCGCTGTGGCTACACAGGGGAGGACGGTGTGGAGGTATGTCAAGATGTCAAGAAGTGGGTGTAGGGTAGTGTAGGGCACAGGACTCTGGAGCCAGTTGCCCCCTGCTCTCTGGTGCCGCATGCAGATCTCGGTGCCGGCGGCGGCGGCAGCCCGCCTGGCAACAGCTCTGCTGGAAAACCCAGAGGTGAAGCTGGCGGGGCTGGCGGCCCGGGACAGCCTGCGCCTGGAGGCAGGCCTCTGCCTGTATGGGAGTGACATCGATGAACACACCACACCTGTAGAAGGCAGCCTCAGCTGGACATTGGGTGAGTTGGGCTAGCACTCAGGGACAGAATCCCAAAGGCTGGAGTGGCCAGCCCATGACTGCTCCCAAGGCTGTGTACCCTGGAGCAAGTGACTCAGCCTCCCTAAGCCTCCTTTCCCTGAAGGTGCGATTGTGGCTTTGCCCATTAGACGCTGAGGATCTTCAGCAGGCTGAGGTGGGCAGCACAGCCTCTAAGACCTGGGGACAGGATGGGGGTGGCTGACTGCATTGCAGGGGAGAAATGGGGCTTGGGGGAACCTGAGCAAAGGGCCCTCACTGCTGGATGGATGTTACTTGGGGTCCTTGTAACTAGAATCTCCTGTGGCCAGGGGTCTTATGGACTGTGGCTTAATCCTGGTGTGTCATGCTTCAGGGAAGCGCCGCCGAGCCGCCATGGATTTCCCTGGAGCCTCGGTCATTGTTGCCCAGCTGAAGGGCAAGGTGCAGCGGAGACGTGTGGGGTTAATGTGCGAGGGGGCGCCGATGCGGGTGCACAGCCCCATCCTGAATACAGAGGGCACTGTGATTGGTAGGTGGACCAGAAAAGTTGGAGAGCCCTTGTCCCTTCCCCAGGAAGGTGGGCATTGGACTGGCAAGGTGATGCTGACATACGGCCTCTGCTCACACAGGTGCTGTGACCAGTGGCTGCCCCTCTCCCTGCCTGAAGAAGAATGTGGCCATGGGTTATGTGCCCTATGAGTACAGTCGGCCAGGTACCCCGCTGCTGGTAGAGGTGCGGCGGAAGCAGCAAATGGCTGTGGTCAGCAAGATGCCTTTTGTGACCACAAATTACTATACCCTCAAGTGAAAGTGGCTTGGGACAGGGCCCCTCCCATCCAGGAGCCTGGACCTGGAGGGCATTCTACAAGGGTTAGTCAAGAAGCTGAGGCTGAATACACTGGGGGTAGGTGGCTAGGGTGGAGGTTGGTTCTGGTTATCTGGTTGAGGGCGGCCCATAACACCTGTTCCCACCCCCCTCCTGTGCCTCTCTAACTTTAAGAGCAAGGGACCAGCTCATGCAATGTCAGCCTATGGTCCCACGGACCTGTTCTCGTCTGCCTGCTGGAGGGCTGTGGGAAGCTTTAGTTCGGCATCTGTCCCTTCCACTCTGCCACGTGCTGGCTGTGGCGCAGAGGCTCACATTTAGGGAGGGGATAAGGCCCACCCAGCCTACCTCACCATGGTTTCTCACACTGCAAGGGGCTTATTACCTTGGGTAGTGCCAGCCACCTCCTTCAGTTTACTTTCCATGAATGCAGACTGGGGCCTCTCCCTGGGTAGGAATGATTCCTGACTCACCGAGGGCTGGCCCTGTAGGGCTGCTGTGCCTGTGTAAACTCGGGGACAGCTGAGGAGGCACAGACTCACTCTTCCACATTCCCAAGTTAGCCCAGCCTGCTGCCCAGTAGCAAACCATGCCAGGCTCACCACCTGTCCTGAGCCCCAGGGCTGTTGTAGGACAGGCTGGGCCTTCTCCTGGACTTGACTTACCCTGGCTGCCCTTTGCCCCTGGTGCCCATTACTGGACTCCACTGACCTCTAAAAAAACATTAAACGAGCTTCCTTTTCTTCTTGCTTGCCAGTGTCTAGCTTCATTGTCCTTTGTCCGCATGGTTCTTGGGGTGCCAGCCCAACGTCTGCTTGCCTGGCCTCTGAGGCAGGCTCAGAGTGGGTTCTCCCCGAGAGGGGCAGGTCTATAAAAACGAATGATAGTGCCCCTCCTTGTCAGGCACTCACCACTGCTCCTCCAGGGAGCTGGTGTCACCTCTCCACCTCTGCAAGTCGTTGCATTCTGGGCGCTGAGGGGCAATGTTCCCTCTCCAGTCTCCCCTGTGCATGCACACCCTTGTCCTGTCTCAATAATCACACAGCTGATGCACTTCCATGTTTAATAAGCTACATCCTCAGTTGAACCTGGGGTGAAACGTGAGACCCTGGTTCTGTGGGGTGGTGTCAATGGGCAGGGCCGGGGCTACAAAACTGTCATCCTACCAGCCAGAAGGTAGCTCTGGAGGAGGTCCACGTACATCAGTTCAGTGTGGTCCTACTTCCAGTGCACCTCTGCTGCCAAGGTGGCCAGCCAAAGGCTGCTGGATGGAAATGTGACCTCTAATAGAGGAAGCAGGTGGCGGGACACTGAGGTAGCTGGTGGCGCAGCAGAAGCAGGTAGGAGTATGGCCTTCGGAGGCAGTTCTAGTGGTACGCTGCTTTCAGAAAGTGCATGTGCTGCTTACAAAGGCTGACCTTTGTAAGCTGCCCCGGCCCACAGTGTAGGTGGCAGGCCCGGGGCTCTTCCTGGCTGACGGTTCTTGGGGGCTGAGATGGTGCCAGTGGGGAGACCGTGGCCTCTTAGGATGAGGCTCCTGTAGCTCCGGGTCAAGATGGGAAGTGATGAAGCTGCAGGGCGTGGTGGGATAGGGCAACTCCTCACTAACTGCTTAGTGTCTCCCTGTGAGGGGGCAGGGTACAACCCCATGGGCACTTAAAAACGGTGGGGGTGGAAGGCCACCCCCCGGGGCTCAGCCTCTTTCAGGCACCCAGCTTCCCAACAAGAAGGACAGAGGAGTATGAATGAGTTGATATCCAGGAAAAGACTATTTCCATAGCCTGACTCACACCTGGAAAGCTCTGGATGGGCCAGGGAGGTGAGTGTGTGGTGCCTCTAAGTCCAGTTTGGTGCCAGCTCCCCCTGCCTTACACTTGAATGGGCCAGCTAAGTAACTACACAGTATAAGGCCATGTCCAGTCCAGAATTCCCTGGCTCCCTGCCAACAAAGCAAAAACAAATTCAAGAAACCTAGAGCTTAGGGGAAAACAGGCTTCCCTTACAAATCCCAGAGCTGGTCAACCTCAAGTTTCCTCTCAGGACAAATTTCTATGGGGTCACATCCCAGGGGGATGGGAAGAGGGACAGGAAAAAGCCAAGGCAGAAAATGGACTGTTGGCCTCTCCAACCCAGAGGCTTCTGAGCTTACCCCTAAGAGAGGAGGGAGGAGCATGCCTTCTCCTTAAGGCACCCAGATCAGGGTAGAGGCAAACTTTACTGGCCCAATGCCTGGAGCTGCTGGAGGCAAGGCCAAGCGCAGTGGAGGCCCAGGCCTGCAAGCACTGGGGTACTCCCTGCCCCCAACCTTGACCTCCCTGTCGTTGTCTCTGGGGTCTGGGCAGCAGCAGAACCCAGTGTGGGAACCAGCAGACCCGGTGATGTCCCTGGAGATCCCTCTGCTGCCTTCCCTTATTCTCTGTGGGTTTTGAGAGGTTCGTTTGCTGTTGTTTCCCTAAAAGTGATGGAGAGAAGAGAGGGGTTATTCCCAGGCAGCCTAACAGTCCCTGATTGGCTCTCTAGCCCTTTAGGGGCTGAGGTGGGCTCAGTAAGGCCACACTACAACCTAGACCTCTCTACTGAGTTCCCACGGCCCACACTGGGTCCCCCACCTGTCTCTTGCCAACACGTTCTTCCTCCTGGTTCCTCGCCTTATCACGGTGTTCCTGTCTTTCCCCAGTTGCCCAGGACCTGGGCAGCGGCAAGCCTCCTAACTGGCCTCTTGCCTTCTCTGTTGGACCCCTTTATCTTCTTGCCATGAAGCAGGCAGTCACAAAGACAAGTTAGATCAGGCCGTAGCCTTGCTGAGTCCTTCAATAGTTTCCTGAGATTTAGGATAGGGTTTCATGGTCCCTCCATGCCTTCATGTTTGAGCTGCAGTGTCACAGCCTTGTCTAGTCTTCCAATATGACACCCTTGTTCTTGCCCTGGCTCTCGTGCTATCCATTCTCGGCCTGGTACACTTAACCACTCCCTAGCCTTTGCCCTCAGCTTAGCTGTCTGTTTTGGGAGAAAACTCTGACCGCCCTCACCCCCTGCTCTGCTGCCCCTTCCCTTTTATTTTTATTTATTTATTTTTTGCTGCCCTCCCTTTTAAATCTCTGGCTCCCCCTGTAAACAGGGCCTGGGTTATCCTTGTTCTCTGGACCTAGTTTGGCCCTGTCATATGATAGGAGCTCAGAGATTAGTTGAACGAATGCTCTGATTAGTGATTTGGTTTTACAGATGAGGAGGCTGACCCTGATGAGGCCAGTCAGTGCAATAAGGACAGAAGCTCCTACCTTCCTAATTGAGGGGCTTGCAGTAGAGTGGAACCCAACAGACTTGCCATTTCATCTCTGAAATCACCACCTCACAGGTTGCTGAACAGCCTATTGATGGGCTGTTCAGAAATTGGTGTCACTCGAAGCCTGAGCTCCACTTGCAGGCCTTGGAGCTTGCTGCAAAGACCACTAAACTGGCGGACTCCTGCCCTAAGAACTTCCTGCCCCTGTCCCTGTTCCCAGCACAGGTGTGTCCTCTGCCTGCCAAGCATGGGGTTGCCATGGGCACAGATTTACTCACCATGAAGTGAAATGCGTGGAGCCATCAGGTGTGGATCCATTCTGGCCGCCCAGACCTGGGGGCAGGAACACATCCAGAGCTGCAGCAGGCTGAGGGTGGGGATCTGAGCAGGTATCAGCCCAGTGGTGTTGTCTGGTGGTCTCGTGGGGGCCCTAAAGGGACTAGTAGTGTCTGATGGAGGTTCAAGGGAATAGTTAAAATGTGATGGGTGGACCGGGGTTTCTGGCATGAAATGGTATGTTGGCATGGGTCAGGGTACAGCGTTAAGTTGTGATAAGGTTCTCAGGGAACCAGTGGTAGTCTAGGGGGTTCTGGGGAGCCCAATGGTACAGTCCGGTGGGGGTGGGGAGCCTCACCTGGGCGGTGATACAGCCCTGTCACCGTGCTCCCGTAGAACCCCCACGCCAGCTGGATGCCCAGGAGACTTAACACCAACCACAGTAGCAGCAGCTTGAAGAGGGTCACGCGCATGTCCTGCGCCTCCCACTCCCGCAGGAACTCGCTGCCCAGGGTGCCCAGCGCGCCCAGCACCGTGGTGGGTAGAGCCTGCAAGAACTGCCCAGACCAAGGCTCCGCCATGACTGGCCCATGCCCCACCCCGGGGACTGTCACTGTAGTCCCCACAGCGCAGGCGTCTGGTCTTCCGGGCCCAGGCCCATTAGTACGCACGCGTAAACCAGGCAAGGTGAGCCTACTTCGCTTGCGCGAAGAGTTGGCAGTTTGGGGCGGAGTAATAAAACCGCGCACGCGCACTAGCCCCACCCTGCTTGCTTAAAGGATGAGTGAGCCGAGAAGCATAAAATAGCAACCAGGTCTTTTATAGCCCCGGAGTTCCCGTGATGCCCCACGCGGCTGCAGTGATTGGTTAAGCGCCTTGCTTTTAGGGCGTGGACGCGCTCCTGAGCAATCGTGGCTGAGCTGTGAGTGCGCGCGCGTGCGCGGGACCGCGACTGGGGCTGGCTCGAGCCCGCTGGCACACGGGGGCGCGCACGTCGCTCCCCGCCCTCCCGCCGCCGACCGCCCTCGCTCGCTCGCTCGCGCTCCCCGCCCGCCGCCCGCCGTTCTTCGTCGGTTCTCTCGTTAGTCTGCTGCCGTCTCCTCAGCCACCCGCCCGTCTCCGAGCTTGCGACTCGCGGACAGGCGTCCTCGGCGCAGAGAGGCCGGACTGCGACTCGTCGCCTGAGGTGAGCGAGAGGGTTCCCTCCTGGCGCTGCGGCGCCCCGGGCCCGCCCGCCCTCCCG